TAACAACATCTTCAGAAAGGGCAAGCACACATGGAAGAAACAGATATCAATAATAAAGTACCGTACGCTTAAAGTAATACAGACATGATGAAAAGGAAATGTTTTCAAGACGGGTTACAACGTACTTTATGAGAGCATTGTATGAACAGAAAAAAAACACTACTACTTACTCATGAAATGGCATATATATAAACAGTTTTTGGGGGGGTTAAAAATACATTCCGATAAGACTGAGCTACCAACAAAACAAACAAATGAAAGGCAATACTAGAAGGGACAGGTGTCATCCATGCTTGACTCTGTCCACAGCAATGTAGTAGGCTGTCTTATCCAGGACAGAGTGCCACCCAATAGGTCCAATCTCACAATCAGCACATATCAAATATTTAATGTTGTCCACCTTTGAAAAAAACAAAACCATAAAAAAAAAGTTAACATACAAACCTGGTACATGGTATTAAATCTATCAAACAAAGTATTTTAGTAGAGGTTTTACGGCACTCGCAACCGCATAAAAGGTCATATAAGCGCCAGAAGATTAGAGGTGTTACAAGAGAGTAACAAACATAAAAAAGAAGAAGGGGGAGATAAGGACGATAGATGTCTGATAGGAAAGAAGAAGCAAACCACACTAGAGCACCCACCAACCACACACAAACAAAGTATAAAGGGTAGACCATTACTTTACAACAAGTATGCAACGTAGAGGCCACATTTCACCAGAACCTCAATATTAGAGTAGCTGCAAAACTAACAAAACAAAGAAGATAACATCCGCGAACCCATAGCTACTTGTTTTCCCATTTTCCTTGCCCTCTGGCAACTGACATCATTTATTGTGCATACATTACTAAGAATATAGAGTCAGCAGAAAAGTGCTCTAGGGAACAGTTGAGTACAGATAACTTGTTCGCAGACAGCTCGAACAATAAGCCATTGCCCGACTGAACCACTATATATATATTCTTAGTACAGGCAGCACTGCATTCTCAAACTAAAACAACCACATCGATGAGTAGAACAGCTCATCTCAAAAAGCCCGATGGAATTTTTCCTCACACTTGCTTAAATCACCCAGTACGCACGATGGAAAATAACACATCCATTATCATTGAGAGTATCAGACTGGTTGCATGAGCCCACAAGGCTCGCCCCAGCGCAGTGTGATACACCTGTAGTGTGCATAAGATGTCAGTTTAGTTTTAGGAAGATTTTACGGCACTTGCAACACAATAAGATCATACAAGTGCCGAAGAATAGAGGTGTCACAAGAGAGTTACATACACAAAAAAGGAGGAGAGATAAGGACGATAGATGTTTCATAGGAAAGAAGGAGCAAACCGTACAAGAACACCCACCAACCACCCACGTAAGACGTTTGAACCTCCTTGAATCCTTTCATGTGAAGGTGGGTGCTGGGTGGTGGGGTGTGATCGAAGACAGACAGTGTGGTGCTGCATTGAATTGGGTTGTGTGGTGGTTTTTTTTTTTTTTTTTGTTAGAATGCAAGGTATGGATCAGGAAATGATGACTCAAGAGGGGTAGTTTGTCATGCTCTGACTAGTGTTGGTAACATGGTCATGATTGTGATCTGAGTTGAAAAGTTCATCAGCACTGTTCTCTTCTCACGAACACAACTGTCAACCTCTGACATGTTTGAGATATCTGCACTCAACTGTACCTAGATATTTTATACCAAATAAATAACTCTGCTTTATGACAACTTAAGGCTACCATT